ATCTCTTCTCTTGTCTCTGCTATAAGAACTATATCATCTACAAAGAGCATACATTTGAGAATTTTCCCTCGAATATGTTCCATCAAAATATTTAGGACCAAGTTAAACAGATAAGGACTCAAAGATTATCCCTGATGTAGTTTAATCTTTATAGGAAAGTCTTTTGTTTAATCACTAGACATTCTTATACTAGTTTTTACCCCCTCATACATATTTTGTATAACTTTAATATAAGCAATCCGCACTCCCTTCTTTTTCAAGGCTTTTCAAAGCACTTCTCTTGGTATACAATCATAAGCTTTTTTTTTTAAATCAATAAAAATCATGTGTAAATCTTTATCTTTGCAATGATACTTTTTATTAATCCCTTTAGTAGATAAATCACTTCTGTAGTCAATCTACATGGCATAAATCTAAACTGATTCTCAAAAATACTTGTCTCCAATCTCAACATATGCTTAATTACTTTCTCCCACAATTTCATTGTGTGGCTCATGAGTTTAATTCCTCTATAGTTAGTACAATTCTGAATATCTCCTTATTTTTATGAATAGGAATTAATGTACTTCTCCTCCACTCATCAAGCATTTTCTTGGACCATAAAATCACATTAAAAACTTAGTTAATCATCTCACCCTTTCTTCACCTAAACATTTCCACAATTCAATAGATATATAATCAAATCCATTAGCTCTACCATTTGCCATTTTCTTAAAAACTTCCTTTACCTCCTTATCACGTATTATTCGATAGAATGACAAATTTTGTTCTCCTTCACGAGTTATTAAATCCTCCAAGTTACTAGACGAACCCTCTTTATCATTTGAAAAAGAAAGTCTCCCATCTATTTTTAATGTCATCATCTGTAACTAAAATTCTTTCCTCTTCATCCTTTACACATCTTACCTATTTTGAATCTCTTAATTTTCTTCCCTACATTTAGCTATCTTATAAATTTTTCGTTTTCCTTCATTTATCTCAAGGATCTTATAAAATTCTTCAAAAGCTTTAGAACGAGCTTCACTCATAGCTCTCTTAGTTTCCTTCTTAACCATATGGTACCTTTCCCATTTTTTCTTATTATTACACAAATGTATGGCTTTAAAACAGTTCTTCTTATATTTAATTTTGTCTTGTATACTATTATTCTACCACTAAGACTCCTTATTTCTCAAACCAAAAGGTTTTGGTTTGATTCTCCCAAAACTACCTTTGCAACCTCCCTTATCTTTTTAGCCATATCCTCTCACAAGATGTTAGTACTTCCCTAAAAATTTTAAATTCCTTTGTCCAAAAGATTCCGCTTGAAAATATTCTACTTCTTATCTTTTAATTGTCACCACCTAATTCTTGGTGCTAGTACTTGTCGACATTGAGTTTTACTCATAATACACACATCAAAGACAAGGACCCTATGTTGTGTCATTATAGCATCCCTAAGAATCACCTTGCAATTTTTACAAAGTCTTCTATCAATGTTCCTAACCAAAATAAAAAATCAATCTATGACCTTGAGGCTCCACTTTTGTAAGTGATGAAATGCTCATCTCTCTTCTTGAAACAAGTGTTGGCAATTTTAAAATCATACACCAATGAGAAATCAAGAAGAATTTGTCCTTCATTGTTTAGCTCTCCAAAACCACCATGCACCCTCACATACTGACCAGTCTCTCTCCCGACATGCCTATTAAAGTCTCCTCCAATAAAAAATCTTTTCATTCTGTGGTATGTGTTGAATCAAACCCTCCAAGTCCTCCCAAAATAATTTTTTAAAACTAGCTTCTGTCCCCACTTAAGGCACATAAGCGCTAACAATATTAACAGTCTTACATCTAACTATCATTTTTAAGGAAATAATTCTATCTCCAATTTTGTTAACTTCTACAATGTTCTTCTTCTACTCCTTATCAATAATGATATCTACTCCATTATGTGTGCTTACTTTTTTTGTATACCAAAGTTTGAAACTTTAAATATCTTTAGCTTCTTCTCCACGCTATTTTATTTTTTGCAGGCATAGAATATTGATTTTCCTTTGAATCATAACCCCTACAACCTCTATAGATTTACAATTCAATGTCCTAACATTTTAAGTACCAAATCTAATATTGCTCTTATAGACTAACTTCTTTAGCGGCGCACGTCTAGAATGACACAGTAGCCCTTACACATTTAATACTACATCGGGGCGCTGATGTAGCTGCTCTAACTCACTTATCACTGCACTCGAACCATGCAGCACATAACTTACAGGCAACGATCTAGCATTAGCATTATAATGTCTATTGTCCATGTTCATGATAGATTCAACAAAATTTTACGTTGGCTATTGATGGCCTAACATAACCCTCCTCCTTTACTCAGGCTTCGAACCGACTATAAACAAGGGAGATCTTCAAATGATTTAATTTCAAACGATGTCGATTTCATCGGAAAGAGTTCTTCAAAAAGTTTAACTTCCAAAGATGTCAATTCTATTGAAAAGAATTCTTCAAAAGATTCTATTTCATTAGGATCTTATTCTGCTGGAAATCCTTCACGACCACCAACCAAAAATGAGCCTTCTTCAAATATAAGTAAATAAGATGATTATTTCCCCGTCATTGAGATAAGTAGTCAGTAAGGGTTTTTTTTTTTTTTGGGGGGCCAACTTTCAGTAAGGTTATTATCAATATTATTTTTTAGGGTTATATAGGTTCGGTAGCCTTTTTGAATTTCTACTTTCACAATTAGGCTTATATAGGTTTTTGTTAGTTTATATCTTTTCACGTGGAGTAATTCTTCACCCTAATCTAAAGATATTTATTTGCAATACTAGCACCTTTTTTGGGAATAAGCCTGTTTATACATTTGGCAAAACGTAGAGTAATTCTTCACCCTAATCTAAAGATATTCATTTGCAGTACTAGTACCTTATTTGGGAATAAGCCTGTTTATACATTTGGCAATATATACCGTTGATATAAATTACCCTTTTGCTTGTTTCCACAATCATCTCAAAGTTTCAAAAATAAATCAGAAATGTAAGGGGTTGGTAACATAATAATTAAATAAAAATAATACACAAATATTCGTATGTATAAACTTATAAATTATAAATTAATATTGGTAAAAAAAATAAATTATAAATTAATATTTTTATATTTTACTGAACAATGACCTTATAAGTAAACATGATATCATAATAAAATAACAAGAATGGTTAATAATAAAAAAAATATAATCTATAGATAATAGATAATAAATAATGATATAATGGAAATATATAATATATAGATTAATCGATAATGATAAATAATACAATGCAAAATTTTTTATTTTGTTGTTCAAAAAATTCTAGCTTTTCTTATTTAATTTAATCAATTAAGAATATAAATAAGAATAAAAACAATAATACTATAATTTTAAATACGAATAACAAATTTAAAACAAATAAAGTGATAGTAAAAGATATTGATTCGATTTTTTCAGGTAAATTTTTTTTGGCCAAATTTTCAGGTAAATTAAGTCTTTAAAAAAATAATGATTCAATGTCAATAAAATTCTTTTTTAGATGGCAATTGCCAAATTCGGGATTCCTTTTACAAAAATATATTTTTAAATATCTTTTTATTAATTATTAAATCTTAACAAACAATCAAACATTATCACAATCACAATTTTCATGATTTTAGCACTTATGATTCACCAAACTCAAAGCAAATTTCTTTCATAAATCCTTCCCTCACAATTTGTTTCAATGCAAATTCTGTAAAATCTAATCCAACAAGGAATTCACCTTTTCTAATTTTATCATTGTATGAAAACTCGAACTGAACCCTAGCTAACCGGAAGTCAACCAGGGATAACTCGGCGGGGTTGATGGGTTAGTCGAATTACTTTTTTTGTTTTTATTTTTAAAATTATAAAAAGTAAATAAAAAGTAAAAAAATTCAACTTGAAAATTAAAAAAGAGAGGCAACGAAAGGCAAGGCAATTGAACCAAATTTTACTGTATGTGGTTTGAACTTTAAATAGATGGCTTTAATTATAAGTTCAAACTTGAAAGATTCAATATTCTTCTAAGTTAATCATGCCTTAATTGTTTTAATCTTTCATTATTTATTGTCATTCAGTTGTCTGATTGTTGCTTAGCATTTATAAATTATGATTGTCATTGTTGATGATTTTAGTGTTAGTAATTATTAGTTTTAGACTTTTTAATGATTAAAAGGTTGCAAAATATAATTGTAAAAATGAAAATTTAAAAAATTATATTTTATTATTGTCAAACTTTTAAGTAGTTGTAATTCTATAATTATTATTGTATTTATATCTTGTATTAGAGATGAATCTTGAATTTGGTTGAATGCTTTTATGATGAATATATTTTTATTTAAATTGTATTATTTTAATCATGACTGATTTGCTCTCCAAATTGACCTCCTATTCAACCCCAGTTGAACCACTCACCCGTAACCCGTTAATTTGACCAATTCAATGATCAATCTGGTTTTCAATATCTTAAATTTTACAAACAACCTCAATCGCTGCCCTAATGCCATAATAATAACAATGTATTAAATTTAGATCATCAATATTAAATTTAAATTGTCCAAATTAGTGAGCACATTTATTAATTTTTTATAATTTATTATTTTAGTAAAAATGAAAAATAAAATACCAAATCTGGACGGCTCATATTTAACTACTTTGCAGCAAAACATAAGAGGAGCAACACCTACGAGGGGCAAATCCGGATCCCTCTGGGGAAGACCCCACATTTTATTGGCAATAACCCTTCAAATACTTATCTATGTAATCCTAGTTTTCAATGCTCGAAAGTTTCTACACATTAGAGGATGCTGTGAGAAGACAAATTCTATCGTATGATGAACGAGGTTGACCGAGGTTTATCTATCTATCACCTTGTTAAAAACTTTATCATTTGTGCCAAAAAGAATATCACTATAGCCTGAAGGTTAACAAATCAACAATCCTAGCAACGCTAACAAACAGAATTTCACAAGTAAACAAAGTGGAATATCATTTCAATCATTTTCTGAATGTTCACCTAGAGAAAAAGCTTGATATGCTGGTTAATAGTTATGAACCACCATTGACAAATCAATAAAACTAGGCAGAGCAATGAACAAAGGGGGCCAAGAAAACGAAGAAATGAGCCACAATATTATAGATTGACAAATCAAAATGAGTAACCAAGTTCCAACACCTAAATATACATACATGTTAACGGCTCCTAAGCTTTAAATGTTACCAAAAAAAGGAAAAAGGAAAAAAAAAAAAAAAAAAACCTTTCTGCATGAGATCTGTAGAACCCACCAAGGCACTTTTGTTCAGAGAAGTCGATCCAGCCACCGTCAGTTCTAAAAACAAAAACAAACCTTGATCAGCTAAACTGGGGATGACGAACCACCTAGAACACAAGAAGTCAAATAGTAGGCAAAAAATCTTGAGCAGGTAATTTACAAACAATAATTGAAAGACAGAGAAATAGCAAGTCTTCTAGAAAGAAATTTCACAAGACAACACCAAGATCATCCTGTTGGCTGATGAGATTCACAGGGAAGGAAACTAAAATATGTCTGCAGAAAAGAAAAACAAACGAAAAAGATCCAAGTAGCTAGGACATGGCTCAGATTTATGAAGTAAATACATACTCATCTTGAGTATTATCTAGGCAATAACATTCTTTTACCCTTATGTCTTTTAATCAATTACCATATCTAAGAGTTAACAACGAAATGTGATGGGTAACCTGGAAATAACTGGAGACAGAAGTATGTGTGAGTGTGAGCAGGAATAACATCACATTCATACCATTCGAGCACAGACATTCCCTCTATTCAATGTATTCATGAACAGCACAGTATGTTGTTTGCATTTGAATGTGATACGTGTGGGGTGAGCTAGACAAAAATGAAGAAAATTGCCACCCAAGACAGAACAAATCTTGCTGAAGTCAGTAAAATCCTTAATTTGTGTCAGCATAGTTCGGGTAGCGCAAGCTTGCAGTTTGCACAATTTGTTTGGTCCCACTAAGGAGGGGAAAAAAGGTTTAGCTACTAATGTTAGCGGATCATGTTGTCACATAGCGAGTTACTGATTTTACATTCGTCTTTACGCGTCATATCTACCAGAATCAATTGTTGAAACTATAATTGTAGAGGATTTCACAAAAGGTTTCTTTGACCAGTCATTCATTACATGTAATTGGCAGGTAAACGATACACAATAGAAATAGATCACCAGATGTATCTCTTCTAGGTTATCAAGTAAGCAAGGAAGCTAAAAAATGACTGGCTCAATTCAAAATTGAAAAATGAGAGAATTTTCAGCAGATCCACATTTTGATATAATTAATTTTCTGTCATAAGCCAGTCCTGAGAGCCTAAAAAACTAGTACAGACAGATCCAAAACCAACAATATTCAAGTCCCTCATGATATGAAGACAGTACGATGGATACTATGAAACATTATAGATTAGCTGCACTAATTAATTCCTAAGGCTTGCTGCCCAACCAAGAACCTTATTATGAAGCTAAGCTCAACTAAATTGCTAGTTTTGTACTTCATATCACTGTATAAATTCCTCGACACATGAGAAAGAAGCAATAAGAAAGATATTATTCTACCAGAAGAAGAATTCAGGAGATACCGTATTTCTAGATTTTATTGTGAGTAGAAACAGAGGCAAGCACTCCAGCAGGCAGTGCCACCAATAGGAGGCGATATCATTTTCAACATACTACAGAGCGGTATCATAGAAATATATCTTTCTTGGTTAGTTGGTATAAACTGGAGAAATAAAAGAATGCACTATCAACATATGAAGTACCATTCTAAGAGAAATGGAGAATTAGATACCCAACAAACTTGTGTATCATTTCAGGTGGAAAATGTTCAGATTGTAAGGGGAAGAAACATGCAATCTTGTGGTGTTAAATATAATTTGCAATTAAATCATTTCTTTCAGGAGGAAAAGCAATTCAAAAATTTTAATTCATATAAAAGAAGCATTCTGATCCTGCAGATATTCATTTACGAGCAATACACATGATATTGTATGTTATTCTTAATGTACAGCAATAGCAACTTAGGTAAAGAAATCAATAACATTATACTACCACACCAAGTTGCATCGTTGTCATCACATGTAAGTATATCTATAGAAGTAAACATATCTATACTTACAAGCAATTTTCTCTAAGGTGAGGGGGTGTCTTTGCATACCTCACTTATGTGTAGCTCTGCCACCAACACTACTATGCTTTAAATGTTCTTGAATAAACCTTTCTGCATGAGATGGGTACTTATTTCTAATGTACTCATGAAGGCACTTATTATAGGAGAAGTCGATCATGTCACCATCAGTTCTTACAACAAAAAGACACTTTGAGTAGTTAAACACGGGATGACATCCGACCTGCAACATGCAAAGTCATATATTTAGCAAAACTCTAGCAGGTAATTCACAAACAATGAGAATTAAAAGACAAAGAATTAGCACCAAGAGCATGCTATCCCATCAGAATCACATATGTAAGTAGATATATAATATCAATAACTGCATTCTGTTTACTTATATTCAGTATTCACAGCAAATGAAATGAAAATAGGCCCGCAGAAAACAAAAGCAAAGAAGATCCAACTAGTTAGAGATAGCATGCCTTGGATTTATGAAGTGAATATATACGCATCTTGAGTATTTTATAGGTAGGAACATATATTCTTACTCTCATGTCTTCTAATCACTTTTTTTACAACAAAATGTGATTGGTGACCCAAAAAGGAGAAATGACTAGAGTCAACCGCTTTTATGCTTTGTATCGCTATATAAATTCTTCTAGACACACAAGACAAAAGCAACAAGAAAGACCTCACTCTACCAAAAAGAAATTAGGAGATATAGTATTTAGAGATTTTATCCACATCAAGGCCACTCTTGCTCAGGAATACCAAATAAAAGATATGGGGAGATGAAATAGTTTCTTGGGATGGAGGTTCCTTAGTCAAAGCAATGAATTTACATCCGTCAGAGGAAGTGCATGCTAGATCTCTTGAAAGAAATTGGCATGTTGGGGTATACAAAATATAGTAGATGATAAGAATGGAAAGGAAATTTAGTATGCTTGCATTATTTACTTTAAATCTTCCTGTATTTATCCTTCTTAATAATGTGTATTTCTATTCTTCTCAACTGTAAACAGTAATTTTCTTTTGTTTAAGGGTTAAAGTGAAAGTTGAAATAATGGGTCAAGCTTCTAGCATTGACCCACCCTTCTCTACTATTGTACCAGTGAGAATGAGACACGCTTCTCAACTTAAATTCATTCTGTTTATAAACATTGCAGTGTTGCCGTTTAAATTGTTGCTTATTTTGTTCAGATGGATTAACTGTAATTGAAGGTGGAGGGGATGACTCTATGAAGATTGCTCAATGTTGGCTAGTTCTGTAAACTTTTTAAGACTTCAATTTTCATGCGGCTGGTTGTTTTTAGTAGATTCTTGTTGCTGTAATGGGGCTGGATTTTCATGTGGGTGGTTGCTTTGATTAGCATGCTATTGTTGTAATATTATGTGGCTGGTTTTAAAAGTGGTTCGGACTTTAATTTTCAAGTCATGTTGCTGGTTATAAATTTTAAATGTGATTCAAACTTGAATTTCATGTGGCTGTTATGAATATAATGTTCTATGCTGTTATATTAAATGTGTGTTTGCTTTAAAGTTTGCCAAAAGAGAATTTGCCAAACTGACTTTCAAAACAGTAAAAGAAGCCCCCACTTGCGTTTCCCAAACTGACTTTTTCATGGTTTTTATGCTTTGTGGATGAGCTTAAAAGGAGGGGAAAAAAAAAAGTTTTTCTACCCAAACATCAGTTCAATGGAAGTTAATTTGCCAAAGAACTTTGGGGGTACCAAAAGAGGCATCCAAACACCCCATAAATCGTTATTCCCTACTTCCCTTAGCTATTAGTCAAGCCTTTTCCACTTTAATGCAGCTGGAATTTCCATGTGGCTGTAAGTGTCAACTTGTGGTGATAATTGTTGGCATTTTGCTGTGGGTTGGATCTATGCCTCATCCATTTTTCAAGTTTCAAAATTGCCTTCACTTTTTCAGGTATATATTCTATATTTCAGTTTTAACTTTTCAAGTTTCAGAATTGGCATCACCATGATTTAGGTATATGGTACACTATATTTCTTTTTTGGTTTCTCAACAAGTATCTTTCTATTAGAAATAATCATGTTCGAAGCACTGTTAGGCAGTAAATGGGAGCACCTTTCCTACAACTTTGGGTTGTCATATTGTGAGGGACTAACCCCTTCCACTAGTTCCAACCCCCTTGTTCAAAGTCCTTCTTCTTTTTTTTTCCCCCACTTGAAGGGGGCTGAATAACAGCTGGTCTGCCAGACCAGTCCACTAGCTTGGTGGACCAAGCCTGGCCATTGGGCTGGACCAGACCATGGACAAGCATGTCAAGCCTGATAATATTTCAGACCAGGCTTTGGGCTAGGGACTAACCCAGTCTTCATGCACTTGTAAAACATACAATCTTCTAATATTAAGTCTACCAAGAAAAAATCTTCTAATGTTAAAAAATAATTTGCAATTAAATCATTTCTTTCAGGAAGCAATTCAGAATTAGTTCACACAAAAGAAGCATTGTTGATCCTGCGGATATTCATTTACAACAAGTTCACATGATATTGTATGTTATTTTTAATATACAACAATTGCAACTCAGAAGTTGCATGGACAACATAATAAAGAAATCAATAGCATTATACCATCATGCCAACAACTTGTAGCATTACACTACCATGCCAACATGTTGCATTGTTGCCATGGCATGTAGATATGGATATAGAAGCAAGCAAATCATACCATAATTGATGCAAGACCGCATCCAATCTTATCATCATAATGTGGATGGTAAACAAGAAGTTTCTCTACCACAACTTTCTCATCCTCATCTGTCAATTGCTCTCCAACCATGTACCTAGTGTAGAAAATCAAAGACTTCAAGAAGATAGTTTTATAAGGTCAAATAAAGTAAAGTTGTAGAAGCTGTATCAGTCAATATTCCAAAGATGCAGCACATGTCAATGTGAGCAAATGATGGAGACGTAGAAATTATCACAGAAAATTTGTATACTATGTAGAGTCTCCCAGGCAGGCAAGCACTGTTTTCCGTGGTTATTATAGATCTCCATCTTAGTTATTTCCATGTGGCTGTAAGTGTCAATGTATGTTGACAATTGTTGGCATTTTGCCATGGCTTTGACGTATGCCTCTTCCATTTTTCAAGTTTCAGAATAGCCTCACTTTCTAGAAGAATTTACAGAATAACAATGCTTGTTTCAAAAGCAGGCAAGCACCATTTTTAGCAAATATTACAAGTACAAAGTCTCACTAGAAGAATCATGAATTTTCTCTTTCAGTCTTCAAATAGGCTTCAGGTTAGTTTAGCCACACAATAAGGTACACAAGAATTTTACCCTACAAATGTGAATAGATCTCCACACACAATCAATAGTGCTCAGAGGCAAATGATATTCATACTATAATGTTTGTTTTCCTAACAAGGAGCCAATATAGTCTCATAAGGAATTCTCTAGAGGAGAATGTTAAATTTGGATCTTGCGTCTCTCTTCTCTCTCTAGAGTTTCTTGTTTCTGTTACCTGCATGGCTACTGCTTCCTTATACTAGGTATATTACGCAACAATAAGTGCCTATCATGATAATAGGTTTAGCTTTAGCATTATTCCAATTTCTCGTGCATTTAGTTTGATAACATATAACTCCTTTTGTTTGCATATATGGGTATTCGACAATGAACGTCGGAAAGTTAGAGGCAATACGACGAACAGTTGGAGAGCAACAAGAAGCGAGAAATTTCATATAATGAATTAGTGTCATGACCTGACCTTCCCGAGTGAAGGATATCCTTGGCTAGCCTAACGATTGGATCAATGTCGTTGACGATCTCCTTTGCCTTATCCTTCCATTCCTCATTATCAGGGTCATCCTGTAGCTTCGAGATTTGACCAGCATAGCTTGCTTCCTCACCTGTTTGTCCCGAAATCGGAATGGTGGGGAGACTACAGAATAAACGATGAGGCGTCACATTCACGGAGATTCGGGCCACAAAACGCCGCAAGTTTTGGAATTGAGAGCTATGAAGCAGAATGTCACGAAGTAGAGGGCCAGCCATTTCACATCTCGGGGTTGTACGATCCAGGCAAAAGGTGGTAATTGGGAGTGTGTTAGGGTTTGGTGGTTCTGATTTAGTGATTATGATGGCAAAATCAATGAAAGCTCCAGGTAGAGGTACGAACTATGGCATTTTCAGTGATGACATTGACGCTGAAGATAATCGTGCTGGTTGCTTGCGCAATTAAACTAAACCGTTTTAGTGAAAGATTAGAGCGACCAGTGACAAGCTGAGAATTACAAAGTTACTTGTGATGAATTTGAATTTGCATTCTAAATTTTAATAAAAAAATATATTTTTTAATTATATTAAAATTTAAAAAATAAATTTATAATTTATTTTAATGTAATTATAATATTAAGAGGTTAAATTGTAAATTTTTAAAGTTCAACATTTGACATGTAAATTAAATTAATTGATCCTTTTAAAATTTTTTTATTATTTTGACAATTACAAATACGGTTTAAGTTTCATTTATATCATTATATGTCCATCCTCTAGTATTTACATAAAAAAATAATAATAATTAATTAATTTTTTTGGATTTATTTGTAATTCTTCATTTAATTTTTCACATTCTATTATGCTGTATAAAAAAATAAAATGTATGATACTAAATAAAATATATGAAATAAATTTTTTGCAGAAAAAATTATAATTTAACTAAATTATTGAAAATGTTTTAATATACAATATATTGAGTTGTATCTTTTTTTATCTTAGAAAATATGGGATATTTTTTTTAAACAGAAAAAACTAGAGATGTAACACCTGTTTACACTAATTTAACTCCTCTTATGTAAGATGTTATTATTAATGGCAATCTTATAAGTACTTCAAGTTTAGAAATACATTTGGCATTTTTAGTTAATATAATTGCATGTCTCAAAACTTAAATTTAAAATTTTAAAATAAGTTAATTCAATTCTTTCAATTAGCTATATTGAGTGCCCATCAATTTTTAAATTGTATATATTAATCTTCTATTTGCATAAAAAATATATTGTTGTAGACAAGGATTAGCAAGTAGTGTAATTTGAAAAGATTATATTTTTTAATTGTATCTGTTAGAATTCCATTTACATGAAAAAATATATAGTGGTAGAGAAGGGTTAGCAAGTGATGTAATTTGAAAATATTACATTTTTTAATTGTACCTATTAGGATTCCATTTACATTCAAAAATATATCATGGTAGAGTAGAGCTAGTAATTTAGATGGGTTGAACTTATTTAGATCAAACTTAATTTAGACTGACTTATTTAGATTAAACTTAAAGTATCCTACTTTTTTTTAAAAAAACTCATATAATCAAACTCGGTCCTAACATTTTTATGCTTCGAGCTTATTCGAACTGGCCTGGATATCCAAAACTTTTTAAAAATATTTTTTCCTTTTTATTTTTAAATTAATTTTAATTTTTAAATAATTCTATTAAGTATAAAATATTATTTTAATTTTAAAAGATTAAAATAAAAAATAATAACTTATCAATTTTGTAATTAAGTAACTCTGTTAATGTTTTATTGTATTATATACTCCTTTACTGTTATGTACTCCTTTACTTGAAGCATAATTTATTCATAAATATTTCCTTTATTTATACATTAATGTCTTATTTGTTTAAATATTACTTTTATTATGGTTATATATAAATATTTTATATATTTTAATTAACTTATATTATTTTAATTATGATTAAGTTGATTTCAATTCAGTCACGATAAGACCACTAATTTAAAATTATTATCCCAATTAGTTTAAAGTTTTTAATAACCTTTGGGTAAAATGTACTTTTTGTTTTTAAATATATGAAAAAAATAATCATCATTATATTATATAAAATAAATTTATTTAATAATGAGTAAGGTACTATTTTTTTTGAATTATTTTTTTAACTTTTTATATTGTTTAACCCCTATATATTAAGGTGTATATGCCAAAATTTTAACTTTAAAAATTTTTTCTTCAAAATTAATTATCTAATTTTATAAAAAACATAATATATTTTTTGGATACGCAAATAATGTATAAGACATAAATTTTAAATATTTTAAGCATGTACATTATATTAATATAATATGAATAATAAATAAAAATTTATGTTTTTAAAAAATAAAATTATGCACCATTAATAATAAAAAACATGAATAAAATTAATATAAACATAAATATTTAAAATTGTATATACTTTAATTAACTTATATTATTTTAATTATAATTAAGTTGATTTCAATTCAATCACGATAAGACCATTAATTTAAAATTATTACCTCAATTAGTTTAAAGTTTTTAATAACCTTTGGGTAAAATGTACTTTTTGTTTTTAAATATATGAAAAAAATAATCATTATTATATTATATAAAATAAATTCATTTAATAATGAGTAAGGTACTTTTTTTTTTTGAATTATTTTTTTAACTTTTTATATTGTTTAACCCCTATATATTAAGGTGTACATGCCCAAATTTTAACTTTAAAAATTTTTGCTTTAAAATTAATTATCTAATTTTATAAAAAACATAATATATTTTTTGGATATGTAAATAATGTATAGGACACAAATTTTAAATATTTTAACCATGTACATTATATTAATATAATATGAATAATAAATAAAAGTTTATCTTTTTAAAAAATAAAATTATGCACCATCAATAATAAAAAAAATGAATAAAATTAATATAAACATAAATATTTAAAATTGTATATAGTAATAATAATATTTTTTTATTATCAATGTCTCAATTATTCAAAAAATATAAAAAAATTATTATAAATAGTTATACAATATAATATTTTTTAGTTAAATGACATTTAAACCCTTATGAAAAAATAACATAATTAATGATAGAGAATTTTGAAAAATAAAATTAAAAGTTATGGGGGTTAATTTAAACTTTTAAATATGAGGAGGGTTATATAGAACTGTCTCAAAATTCAGAAAAGTTTTATACATTTTAGCCTAAATTAAATGAGTAAATTAAAACCTTATATAGAGTTAGAGGATAAAAATATATTTTAGCCAAAAATTTATTTAAAAATATATACTTATAATAGAATGAGAATAACAGAATCAGGCTTCATCGTTTTCCAAGAGTTTTGAATTTTAACTTTTCACATAAATAATTTAATATTAGTAACTATAATTAAATATATTTTTCCCCTTTCCTCCCGAAAGAAAATTTTATTTGTATCCCCTTAAAATTTTAAATATATGTGTATTTGAAAATATAAATTTTTTAGATATTAATTATAAAAATAAATTGTATAAAATTTACAAAATATAGTTACATAGTTGCACGGGTGTCAAGAAGGGATCATGTTATATTCAAATATTATTTTCAATAAATTCATATGATTAAAAAAAAAAGGAAAACATGTAGCATCATAAAATATTTTTAGTAATAATATGTGTATATTAACAAATCAATCAATGAGATATGTAAAGGAAGATTGGGAGAATATGATATTTAATTAGATGGAGGGATATATATTTTAAATTTATTAAGGTTTACTTGATGAAATTTTAAAATTTGTATTTACAGAGAAAAAAATTAATTCATTGTTGAATTAATTAGTGAATCAAAATTTATCATTCTCAAAGATTTTTAATTTTTATCTTTTCGCATAAATAATTTCAATAACCACACTTTTTAATATACTTTTCCCTTTTTTCCTCCAAAAGAAAATTCTATTTGTATCCCCTTAAAATTTTAAATATATGTATGTTTACAAATACATGGACATCCATCATAAAAATAAATGGTATAACCTTCAAAATTTAATTTTAATAACAAATTTTATAATGTATCAAATTCAGCTATCTTGGGAGAATATGATATTTAGACGAAGGAATATATCTTTTTTATATTTATTAAGGGTTGGTTGATGGAATTTTAAAAACTGAATAAATCTTGGTGAACAATAATTTTTTTATTGCCCTACCTTACTTGTTTATTGCTAGACCCTCAATTTCATTTCAAAAAAATAAACAAGTAAAGTAAAGCAATTAATAATATTTCGCAAGTAAATTGACAAGTGAAGTAGGACAATTTTAATATTAATTTAAATTAGAGTAATTCTGTCATTTTTTTAAAAATTTAATATCAAATCAATACTCTTAAACTATAGTAAAATTTTAAAAATTTAAGGATTTTGAATTTAAATAAGTATGATCTAAGGGTTATTATTGAAATTCTTCCTTTATTAAAACCTTGTATTTAAGACAAATTTATATGACGTATGTGATAGAATAAGAAGCTTACCATCGTGAACAAATAAAAATATATGAGAGTGCTTAACCAAAGGTTTCTAAATATTAGAAATTGTCATTCTCTTAAAGGTAAAGAAGAAAAAAAAGGGCTGGTAAAAAAAAACAAGAAAAAAAAGGAAAAAATTGTCATCCCCTATTTAAATCATCAAGGTGGTTTCCTTTCATGGCGGTGGCATGCGGCTATGTCACGAACGCCGGTTATTCTGAATGTTAACTTATGGGAAATGAGGCTGAAGGACAACGAGCGCGCGATGATCGGATACGCAATGGGTTTCTGATTTTCAACCATGGGCATTTTCGGTCAATTGACATAATATTTAAATTACAACTGAGGGCCCGCAACATGTTAACCATTTTTTTATAATTCTGTAAGACATATGCTTAATTTCCCCCAAAATACGTTAACTATCTTTTTATTTTACCTAAAATTCGTAAGTATCTTTAGCTGGCCATTACTATTAGATATGGCTGAACCAATGTATAACCTTTTAAAATCTTAAAATTTAACTTAATCGTTTTGGATAATTAGTATTATCTCTTATTTTGTTGAGATTCTATTTCTAATACAAAATAACATATCATATCTTTTGAAGATATCAATTAAGTTAGATATAAGAAAAAGTCTATAAATATCCCATCCCTCTCCATTTGTAACCATCATTTAGTTACTCTAAGCACACAAGTTTTCTCAAACTCTATTTCAACATGTTTAATAGATTTTGTATTTTGAACACGTGCGTCGATTTGGTTTACAAGGAAGATCTCCAAGTGGTTTAATTTATACAATGTCGATTCCATCAAAAAGAGTTCTTCAAAAAGTTTAACTTCAAAAGATGTTAACTCTATTGAAAAGGATTCTTCAAAAGGTTCAACTTCATTAGAATCTCATTCTGTTG